TTTTAACAAATATAAAATTGTTTCATTCGCAGATTCACACGACTGGTCATTCATTCCTACACGACATAAACTCCTTTCACATAGATAGCTAACCGAACATATAGCACTTTATTACTATGTCTGTAAACTCACTCAGGTAATTTACATTGGAAACAATACATTGCATGAACAAAAGTTGTTTTGGTTTGTCCTTGCCCGACTCTGGATTGGTCATTCATACATTACCCATTGTTATTTGATTGAATGTGATGTCCAGCCTCAATGCATTGCGTGTCGGTAACCATTTACAGTAAAACACACTTATAAGATTTAAGTTAATTCGAGAAAATGTCTTACATAACAGTAAATGTCGTAAATCTCTTTTCAAAAACATAACTGTCTCCTCAATGTTAGGCTATCTGAAAGCTGTTGGTCTTTTTAATCCGATTTGTGTCATCATAGCCACTTTCAATATTCAAATTGATGTTTGTCTTTTGACCTTGAAGTTTGTTTGATGTTTTGATTTTGCTTTGGGCATTTTTTCGATCATTTGTTGGCCCTAATGACCGATCCTGTGTTGATGGGCCGTTAAGCATTAAATAATAATAATAATTGGTTTGGTTTCATTTTGTTTAACGTCCTATTAAAAGCTAAGGTATTGCGTGTATGTGTGCCGGAGACGGTGTTTGTTGGGTATACCTGCCTCCTTTTGATAACACAGATCTGATGTTGACTTTATAGTGCTATCTCATTGAAATCCCATGCCGAAGCCATACAACATAGCATCTAGCCCTGTCACATTATACTGACAAAAGGTGAACCAGTTGTTGCCATTACCCTTAATGCTGAACGTTCAACAGAGAATAACAACTTCTATATTTAAAGACTTTGGCATGTCCCTGCCTGGATACAGAACCCATTGCCTTCCTCGCCTGGGCGAACGCTCAACATTAAAGCCAGAAGTGAGGTATTGCCAAGCAAGGCGCTAGGAAATAAAAGGTATTTAGAAGCAAAAAGAAAGATAAAGATCCCAAATGTTGCAATGGGTGCAGCAGATTTACGATACATAAGTGGGTAACAGCAGGTGTATTCCTTTCTCGACCCCGACATACAGAGGTGCGGATGAGTTGTTCGATATTGTCATATGATATTCCTCTGGACAGAAAAAATGAAGCACACTTTTCAAAGTTCCTTGTCAACCTTTAACATTTCCTTTTTCAAAGCCACAACTTGCCTCATGTTGTATCACTTGTTATTCAAGTTAATATGTGCTGCCACGCTCTTATTGTCTTGTCGCGTAATATTACCTGCAAGTACATGACATACTTTTGATAGCGATGGTGAATCCATGGAGATGTTTTTGTTGTGTTTTTTCAGTTGTACATGGTTTTTCGTTATGTTTCCTTTTGGAAAGTTTAAAATATGTAGTGTCTTCCTTTTCTATCGATCGGGAAGTCGTTTAACCTGTTTTTTTTGTATTAAATTTCTCCCGTAAGTAACATATTTGGTCTTGCAACTTCCCTGCAAATGTTATTTTCCTTCGTAATTTTAAAACGGGCCAAAGAGTTTGATGATTCCAAAAAAGATATTTGCGTCTGCTTCGAAGGTGTAGTTTTGGAAATTCAATGAACCATATAAAAATGACATGAACATGTTTGACTTTCGGTGTTTACGTAACGTTTCATTTAAAACACTAACACCTTTTTATTTTGCTTATGAAACTGTCAAGTTTTAAAGAGGCACTTGACATTTCCGTTGTCTACTTGTGATGTTACATATGTGCAAAGAGTTAAATAATGTATTGCAGACGGTTTAAACCAATATAGAATTTCTTCTAATACATTTCAATAGATTACCAATTTTAATGGAAAACAATCAAGTTCCTGATAAGGGGAATGAGTACAAGGTATTGTTCGTATAAAAAGAAAATGAGGATTCGTCTAAAAGAATGCCTGGAAATAAAGTTAAAGTGTTTGTATGTAGAACTATATTTAGATCACAAAGAAATAAAAGACAGGGGGACTGAATCTATTTGAAAAGAAAAAATAAGGCTATGCTTATAAGGAAAAAGGCAAACTGGAAGTCGAATAAGAGAGAAAAGGACAAAATACTTTTGAAATTTAGAGAAGAGGTACTTTACAGAAACAAAGTATACCAAAATTACTAAGTTATAACGGGAAGTAATATATAAAGAGGAACAAACTTGCTAATATGAAAAACTGTATCGAAGTAAAGGACCAAATTTGGAAGAAATGCATCGTGCATTATGTTTCAATGCAGAAATCCATATAATAATAAGCAACATTAGAGCAGGCAAGAAAAATTGAAAGTAAGTTGAGTAAACAAAACAAGTTGAATTTCTCTTAAAAATGCACCAGGATTGGATGATTTAACGACTGAACTTTACAAGTTTTTTGGACTGACATAAATGAATCTCCTGATTTCTCTCAATAAAGCTTTAGAAAAGAGTCAACTGTCTGTATCTCAAAGACATGGTTTTATAAATTGTATACCAAGAGAGAGAAAAAAACCTCTGTTAAAACAATTGGCGACATACATCTTTCTTTAATGCCGATTATAAGGTGCATCTGCAAGCACTGCTAACAGAGAAAAATCATTCTTGAATTAGCTCGTTAGTGACAAACAAAAACGGATTTATTAAGGGTAGGTTTATAGGCGTATGAACCAGGGAAATTCTTGATATAATTAAAAAGCTAATGAAAATGATATCCAATGTTGACTCGATAGAGCTAAATTTTATTCTAAGCGCTTTAATGTTTCAATGTCTCGGTCCGATTTTCAGACAATGGATTAATACGTTTTACTGTGATCTTTCCAGTTATTTTATAATAATGGTCATTGTTCAAACCTTTTTTAAATTGTAAGAAGAGTGACTAATGTTTACTATTTTTCTGCTTGTGCTGATCTGAGTGAATTTGGAGAGAAAAAAAAAACACATGCTATATTGATTAGGGCAAAACGGTGTTGCGGAGAGGAGTACTTACAAGGAAGAAATCTTTTCAGGAATCACCGAGGCAAATTCCAATTGCTCGGTATCTCATAAGCTATAAACAAAGAGTACATCACATACGTAAACTATGGAAAAACATTGCTAATCGTTTAAAATCTTTAAGATGTCTGGTCTTTTGAAACTTTAGTTACTACGGGAAAATCAAAGTTATCAAATCGTTAGCACTGCCTATTCTGACACATCATATTTTTCAGTCCTTCCAGACCTTCCTGATCACTTTACTCAGAATCTGTAAATAAACTCACTCGTGTTTCGAAATTATCGACATTCTGTCATACTCCTGAAATATATATGGTACGCAACGGGAAAACATTAAATGTGCTCTATTTACCTATCTCTTTTACTTATATACTTAGTAGCGTAGAAGCCTTCTCGCAGATTTCGGCAGAAGGTCCAGTTTTTTTTCCTTGCGTATAGACGCCAGCGTATAATTCATCTATTTTAACGAATAAAACAGAACTGTTTTGAACAAAAATTAATTATAACGAACAACGAATGCATATTTTCCAATCTCACTTAAAGTTCTTTTGTGTCCTTAAAATATTTCTTGTCCAGATCAGGTGTTTGGAATATGTCAATGTCAAGTAAACTTCAAAACACTTGTCTTTGTCTGCATGTGAGAGTATGTGTGTATTGTATGTCTGGCTGGTATATATGTATCAAACTATTTTATAAACAAAAAAAACAATAAACAATAAACAAAAACGGAATATATATATAAATGATTCATTTTTATTAATTTTTCAATATTATATCCTCATACATGTAATACATAAACATCCCTGTTTACAATACGTAGAAGTGTACATTTCATTTAACAATATTTTTATTGAATATTGAATGTTATACAAATTTCAAAAGGAATTGGGCAACAGGCGTAATGCCTATACAAGCCCTCTCCTATGGTATGGACAATGTATATCATATAATATATATTGTGAAATAATTAAAAAGGTTTTTACTATATATAGGACAGAAGTCATCGACCAGAGCTCCCACGCAGTGACTCACTATTTAAGGTCATAGGAGTGTATTGCTAAACGGAAATAGGAAGTACATCCCTAGTTGAAAATCCAATGTAGGGAGAGAGTATCACAATTTCCGCATATTCTAATGTTTAATATTAAACTGATGAATATTGTATGCTTATTATTGACAGAACAGTGTGTTCTTTCAATATTAAATTATTGCAAAGGAATCCAGGCATTAATTCAGTTGTATTTTAATCAATGAGTCACATGTGTCCATTTTTCTGTACTTCAGGGAACCGGCTACCTATTTCACTACTGTGAAGTTATTCAAGAACAATAACTCTTGCGTGCAATTACTATGTGTATATGGTTTATTATAAAATGTGAATTTTTAATCATTTATAGATGATTAATTTTACACAATTTCAGCATTTATGAAATTGATATACATTAATGCAATACTAATCTATGTTATTATCATTTTTATCGACATTATTTTGCAAAAAAAATGTGTGTTTCATTTTTTTTTTTTCAAAATTCACTCCTTTTTACATAAATTTCCATTTAAAATCCTTAAAATTCTGACAACCGATATTTTTTCTGTGGCAGAAAATTTTCTTTACTTCAAAGCAATATAACTACCAAAGAATATATTCTACTGAGAAATGGCGACACAATCCTATTACCTAAAGTTATTTTAGTCATATATGCGTTATGGGAGTTCTCTCCCCTACACCACAGAGGGGGATTGTGATAAAGTTCAGTAAAGCATCTCTGTTACCTTGATTATTATTTTTAAAAATTGCATGGTTCAGGCAAACGATCATAGGCTTAGCAAGATTTTAACATGAACAAGGATTTCATTCACATAGAATAGGAGTTTCAACTAGAGAATAAATCTACTTGAGAGTGCAGATGGATTACATGATGATGAACGTAGGATGTAAGATATAAGAGGAGATTTATAGTTGACAAGTTGATTCTGGGTCACCACGTGGAGCTCTAAGCCATTATCATTCTATCCCCAATGTAGTGATTATATTCCCTAGTCAGTCTCTACCCCTCTCCGTGAATCCACAGATGGCCAGTATGGTACATGGTAGACATAGGTAATGGCCTCGTCCCCATATATCATACTGACCTCCAGCGGTCCCACTGACTGGGGGCAGCAACTGACCACACAACAGAAGATACTAACTATACAGAATAAATCTTTACTTATTATTAGGTTACATGGAAAAAAATATAACTACTCACACGTATGCTCCTACTCAAACTGGCACTTACTTTTATACACACACTCCCTCACTCACTCAAAAGAATTGCCCAAATATTATATATTCATTTAATTCTGCATTATTATATTATATGAAGGTAAATATAAGATGGTATGGTGATGGATCAATGCCTTGTATAATCAACACTTTAATACTTAATATTGAGCGTGATCAAAGATTTTGAATTGTAGAGGGAATGGCTTGACCAAAAAGTCCATTTGTTTACACAAAGGTCAGCCAATTCCCAATAAATAGTACCAATGTATACTTACGTACATCCATATTTTATACATATTTCAAGTGTTTGTACCAACCTCGATAATAATTTAAACTAATTAAGTTAATACATTAGAGGCGTTTAGTATATGAAATGAATCTCATTCTAGTTTATACATATCATCCTGATCATTATGGTTAGTACTACCATAAAAAAGAACATTTACATTTTCTCTTAGAAGTGGATCTATATTATTTATTGATCTGGTAAGGCCAATCCTGTCATTATTATTATAACAAAGGACATCTTAAAAAAGAATGTATCTTGTCTTCATTTAAATAACCACATTGGCGAGTTAAATTATCTCTTAGATGATCATTATAAAGATCTGCATTTAATTGACTTACATTAATTCTTAATTGACACAGTATTATGTTTAATTTTCTGTTACCTCCATATTTAAAAGTTTGAACACACATATCTTCAGCTGTAATAAAAGGTTCTGGAGTTAATTTCAGTTTATTTTTTAGCTGGTTTAGGGATACAGAATTGAAAGTAGCGGTATTATTATTGTTCAATTGATTAGTAATATCAGGGAAACACTTCTGAGATGAAGGTTTGTTCTAGCCATTGGTTCATTAATAAGCCTTGGCTGTCTTATGTTATATATATTTTCCTCTGGAGTTCTGATAAGTGGTTGAAGGATATCTATTAAATATAGAAGTGTACACAATTACTATATGTGACAATTGAGGCTTGCTAGTCACACTTATACCTCTAGGTAGACACCATGGGTTCGTTGACCACATGGTCTTTATTTTTGCGACGTTGTTTCCGGATTTTCAAAAATTCCTCGACAGGTGGCGCTACAATGGCTATTATCCCCATAATGACAGTCCAGGCTTGATTCAACATAATCCAGACCTGAAACTGAGCCTCGTCGAGGACAGGAACGCTCGCCAAGATCCCTGGTATCACGAAAGTAAACAAGACAATACTGATTCCCCCGCTGATGTAGGCGATATGTTTCACTCGACGGAAGGCGGCTGCCATTTGATCAAATGACGGTTTCTTGTCGTAGTGCTGCCCCTTGAGTTCCTCTCTAAAAGTCTTTTCCCATGGATTCAGTGGGTTTTCTATATCGTACATTTTCTGCCATTCTGCATCAGCGTCAGCCTTTGTTTTGATCTTATTCGTTAGGGCAGACACCACTATACATACAATAAAGCTGATGCCGAAACTGCAACAACTTCCCGCCAGAATCGAGTATTCCTGTGACGTGTTTACGACAAAGTTGCTAAGACCTCCGTCATACCTGGTCGCTGTAATCAATGTGGCAGCTATACCGGTCAGTAAACCGGCTATACCACCTACAACGGTAAATAAAACTAAGAAAAAACGGCTTACTACCAACAAGGACACGTCAAAATGATTTTGCAGCTGCAATATATACCGGACAACAAACCAACTAAACAAGACAAGGACAAGTCATGTTAGTTTATAGCTAAATATGTATGTAAATCAGGCAACTGGTTTTGGCTTAGAAGCAATTATCTCCTTGCGATAGTCCGGCTCTGAACTTTTGAGTGCTTTCTTCTCACTGTAATACCGTGTCAAATTCACTCAACACAGTCTTCCACCAATGCATATTATACTGATAACGGATTATACATACCAGTTATCGCATTTACCCCCATCATCCTGTCATATTATAGGTATAACATGTAACAAAAATTGTATCTACCCTACCATCCTATAATATTATTGTATTAACCCTCCATCTTATATTATAGATATAACGGGTATCTCATTATTGTATTAACCCTCCATCTTATATTATAGATATAACGGCTATCTCATTATTGTATTAACCCTCCATCTTATAGTATAGATATAACGTGTATCTCATTATTGTATTAACCCTCCATCTTATATTATAGATATACAATGTAACGGGTATCTCATTATTGTATTAACCCTCCATCTTATAGTATAGATATAACGGGTATCTCATTATTGTATTAACCCTCCAACTTATAGTATAGATATAACCGTTATTCCATTATTGTATTAACCCTCCATCTTATATTATAGATATAACGGGTATCTCATTGTTGTATTAACCCTTCATCTTATATTATAGATACAACGGTTATATCATTATTGTATTAACCCTTCATCTTATATTATAGATACAATGTACAACAGGTATCTCATTATTGTATTAACACTCCATCTTATATTATAGATACAACATGTATCTCATTATAGATTAACCCTTCATCTTATATTATAGATATAACGGGTATCTCATTATTGTATTAACCCTCCATCTTATATTATAGATAAAACGGGTATCTCATTATTGTATTAACCCTCCATCTTCTATTTTAGATATAACGGGTATCCCATTGTTGTAATAACCCCAGCATCTTATATTATAGATATAACGGGTATCCCATTGTTGTAATAACCCTACCATCTTATATTATAGATATAACGGATATCCAGTTATCGTATTAACCCCACCATCCTATCATAATATATATATAACAGATAGCCAGTTATTGAATTTAACCTACCATCTTATCATATTATAAATATAATGGGTAACCAGTTATTGAATTTACCCTACCATCCTGTCATATTATAAATATAATGGGTATACAGTTATTTTATTTACCCAAACCATCCTGCCATATTTATATTGTTAAACGATTTCCAGTTATTGTAGTGACCAGTTATTGTAGTTACGCTATCATCCTGTCATATTATACTGATAAACGGTATCTTGCCGTTACCATAAATGATGAACGTTTATCAGGAAGTAACGATTACGATACGCTTGGGGACAGAACTTACTTACCTTACCTACGAACGTTTAACACTAATATTGACATAAGTTAGGTGTTGCCAAGAATTGTGCTTGGAAACAAAAAGGATCTTTAGAAGTAAATAGAAAACATGCCGTTAGTAACAGCTTGTAGTAGTTGATGCAGGGTTGATGCTTTAAGTGGAATCACCCCACCATCGTGTGTTAAGTTCATCTTTGAAATTCTTACAAGAGACTGATGCTACCTAATTATATGATTATTTGCGAAAGTATTGTACCTGCTATTATTCCTTTCGATGTTTGCTTTACCCACATAATGGCCAGGACGACTGCAGGAAAGGCAGGGATCGTGACGATGGCGCCGACGAAGAATATCCAATTCAAGTCTATACCGCTGGAAAATATGATGAGTCCGAAAGGTATTATACAGATGGCCACCCATATAATACACCAGTTCTTGAAGTCGATGAGGTGGTCTTGGTACATCCTGTACGGGCCATGAACCGGGCACTTATAGGTAGATATGCTACCGTCAGTCGATTTATTGATGCCTCTGTGTAGTATGTCATCAATACACTGTTTACAACTTGTGACGCTTGGGCACTGACAAACATCAATTTCATTAGTACTAGTGTCGGTATCCGGCTTGGAGGCCTTGCCACACAGCACACAATTGGATGGTCCCAAGTTTCTCCTGTGAATGTGAGGGAATACATAGTTTGGTGTTTAAACATAATATGGTGCTAAATTAGGGGAAAATGTTTTGAGAGTGGTAGTCGTGAGTGAAAAAACATTCTGATCAACAATGCTGAGGATTCTTGTTGAATAAAAAGACGTTTTTTTCATTTTTGCATTTTGCACTATGCTTTGCTATTTGATGGCAATCAATGTTAATTATATACTTACTTAGACACAATCTTTTCTACTTGTATACGCTAGTGGGGTTTAGGGACCGATATTAGGGGGTCACGTGGTTCGAATTCTTGCTTTATATCGATTGACTTAACCCACCTATAAGAAGAAGACTCGTAAAATTCTTTTGTTCTTTTGCCAATTTGTTCATATATAATTCGCGATTAAAGGTTTAAAATCACTTTAAGGTATTTGAATATCTATTGGATGTAGGTTAAGGGCTGCTTTAGCAACCCTATTTACTTCCTCATTTCCACTTATTCCGACATGACCGGGTATCTATATGACCAACAGGTGGCAGAAGTCCTGTTAATACAGAGTGCAATGTCTGGATAAGAATGTTGTGTAAGTTCCGATTTTAATACTTTTTAGCAATGCTAACGAGTCGGAGCAGATAATTGCTTTTTTAATTACATTTCTTTCAATTTCGTCCAAAGCCAGACCAACTGCAATTGCTTCAGCTGTGAAAATATATACACTAGTGGGTATACGGCAGGAACAAGTTATGTTGCCGACAACACATGCTACTGCAAAGAAGCTCTGGTATTGAAACAGGAGAGTGCAAGATTTTTCATAATTTTGCAAGTCTAAATTTACTTCAGTATAAGGTATAACAGCAATTTCGATTGATGAAGGGTCTAAATCCAAATTATCCTGTAGTTTAAATATACTATATAATATTCAATAATTTATGATAAATGAAAGAAAGCAATCATGCGATTATTGTAATCGTACGAAAATCTCTTGCAAAAACGTCCTTAAAGGAACAATCGAGACTCATGGTCAGAAATGTGGAGGTTGTTGTGAGAAGTTTTTAGTTTTGGTGTCTTCTTCTCACCTGATGATATATTTTCTGTTCTCAGTAGTGATATTATGGACTACAGGTCTTGGAGGGAATATCGCAATTGATTAGATATTCAGAGACTATTCTAAATAGAGTACTTAAAGCAGACAGTGCAAGTTAAAAAGCTTTCAAATGAGATTTTAAAAAAACTGGTTTTTAGATCTTCCCCATCTATTCCAACTATCGTTACGTATAGCACATTCTCGAAAATTGTGTTTCCAAAATAAAGGGTATATTACTGAAAATACTTCAATAAATCCCATATATTTCACTGATCTTTCACCTGCATGGAACTGCATCCACACACAAAAACTTTATTATGAACTGTTAGTCTTCGTCGTGTAGCCGCTTAACTAACAAAACACGTGCACAATGTGACACTCCCATGTGTGTAGTAAACAACGTGAAATTGGATAATAAAACCAATATCATGGAAATAATTGGAATAAGTATTGTTTTCACACAGTACTACTATGATTTATATATTTTATTTAGATAAATCAGTATAGCTTATGTGTATTTCAGACATTTGTAACGAACCCCTGTGGATAATGATATCTTTGATGTGTTTCATTTCAATTTTATTCAAATAATCTGTTAAAAATTATTGGTTGGTTTGGTTTGGTTTAGTAATTAACGTCCTATTAACAGCTATGGACCTTTAAGGACTGCCTCCCCTGTGTGCAAGATGGATGCGTCTTGTGTATGCGTGTGTATTTTGGGACTCTACGATATGTTTGTGTTTGTCTCCTTGTGACAACAGGCGAACCAGTCGTGCCACTCCTAAATTGCTGAGCGTTAAGCAGAAGTAGAAGCTACCATTTTTACAGACTCTGGGTATGTCTCGGCCAGGGGACATAATCCAAAGCCTTCCTCACAGGGACGAACGCTAAACTAAAGGTCAAAAGTGAGGCATTGTCAAAGGAAACATAAGAAAGAAGAAATTTGTTTAGAAAGAAGAGAAAAGAGAAAATAAGATGCCAAATTTAGTCGCCTCATAAGATCAGACAGTGGGGGCAGCAGGTACAATTATCACGCCCTACCTGCAGGGTCCTTAAATAATGTTGGTTCAAAATCGTGAAAGTGTTCTATTTTTATAGTATAGTAGTGTCGCCATGCGCACACGTTGAAGAAATGATAACCGGTTTGACGGGTAAGGCGCTTTTTAAACCAAGCGAGACCCATACTCGTTACCAAGCAAGGACAAACTAAAATGTCGACACTTTCGTAGAAACGATAGTCGGAATAGATGGGGAAGATCCAAACAAGAGAGAGAGAAAAATCTCAATCGAAAGCTTTTCAAGCTGCACCGTCAGCTTTAAATGTTATACTTAGGACACATTTGTATCTTTTTTTATTTACTGTGGCTCATAATACCCTCCGTAACGGAGTAAGGGGGTACATTGGAATCACCCGGTCTGACCAAAAATTGGGTCAAGCGTATCTTAAAAACGATTTAAAGGATTTCTCTCAAACTGATCATATTACTTTTCCTATGATATTGTGTTCTTTCGCCCGTTGTTAAATTAGACAACATTTATGAGAGTTATGTCCCTTTCCATATAAATTCTGTCCAGAATATCATGTTAAACGTACATGTTTGTTATGCATTGGAGTACCCTGTATACAACTTTTCAGTGTTTAGCTGAATTTCATAAAACTTCACTGATTTAATAAGCACACTCTGGAGTTGTACACCAGACCTTTGACCTTAACATTTGAACAAAAATGTCTGTGGCATATTTTCTATACTTTTTCAATTGGAGTAACTAAATTTGGTACGGAAGTAAATCTTGGAATGGTGGAATGTCAATTAAGAAAAACAGGTAACTGCAACCTATGCGTTGACCTCTGACCTTATTCAATGTAAAACATTGTTCAGGCATATCGTTATTCTTTATACTATTTCATCTGAAGTAAAAAAAAATGTCTGGGACATAAAATCAACAGGAGAAACAAGATTTGGTATGCAAGTACATCATGGAAACCACAAACATATCTGTGAATGGGATGATTGAATTTCAAAAGAAAAAGTAGGCCACTGTGACTCGTTCTTTAACCTTTGACTTCAGCCTCTGAAAAGTTAGTTTGGGGCATCTTTTATGCAAGTTCGCCTTGACTATTCAGATTTGGTATGCAAATATGTTCTAGCACGGGGTGTACAGAATGTCACTGTGATTTGCTTTGCGATACGTTGCCTTAGAACATCTTAGAAGACTTACCGACTTACCAGAAGGGTTTGAAATATGTCTGGCATATGTCGTTAACAATGACAGAAGACTGGAAGTGCTAGACGTAGGTCTGGTATATGCAGAAAAATTGACAGAAGACTTACCGAAAGGGCTTGACATAGGTCTAGTATATGTCGTAAGAAATGACAGAAGACTTGCTGGAAGGGATGAACGCAGGCCTTGTATATGTCGCAAACTTTGACAGAAGACTAACCGGCAGTGACAGACGTAGGTCTGGTAGATGATGTTAGCATTGACACAAGATCTATCGGAGGGGCTGGAAATAGGTCTAATTATTGCCTTAAAAGTAGCAGAACACTTTCATGAAAGGCCGGACGTAGGTGTGGTAAATGTTGTAAAGTATGACAAAAGATTTACCGGAAGGGCCTGAGGTAGGTCTGGTAGATGTCGTAAACAATTATGGACGAAACGGCCATCACCTCTCCGGACCCAGTAGACATCAGAGCCATTGACACCATGCATAAAATCATGATTCCTCCTGCTGGTCCTAGAACTGCCTCGGCGATCAAGGGTGACACCAGCCCTGTTGATTTGACCAAATATTATGAAGCAGTTCAGACTTGTGACAAAATCAATTGAACATTATTACTTTTCTACAAAAGTCATCGCTTGTTCTCAAACACGTTGCACTCCTCTGTTATCACTACAAGAAGTTCATATATTCGTATTGTGAAATGTATAGCGTGGAGGCACGGTAGTCTAGTGGTAGGACGCCGGGCTCGTGACCGAAGGGTTGCGGGTTCGAGTCACGGCACGGCACTGTGTTGTATCTTTGAGCAAGATACTCTACTCCACCTGCTCAAGTCTACTCAGCTGTAAATTATTACGTGGCTGGGAACTAGATTGTTATAAAGCGGTATATAAGAACCTCGAACTATTATTATTATTTTTATGATATTTTAAATCAGAACTCTTAGGTAATGAAACTTAAAAAAAAAAAAAAATCACGTGAATAATAATGACGGTTACGTATGCCAGATGTACCGTCAGTTTCTATTCAGAAGTTCAGTATTAGCTGTAGAGATATTTCATAGCGTACATGACCCAAATCGTTTAACATTGTCAGCAAAGTTCATGTAATTCCTATCAAAAATGTAAATTTAATATTGCATGTTTTAGTTCAAAACATTTGAAAAACATATATATATATAAATAATTTTGTCCCCCAGCGTACATGGTATTAGGCAGTTTCCAGCATTGGACCTGCTCTGACTAGTAAAAAATTCCATCACTGAACTTTTTGAATGGTTATAGTTGAGTCTCCATTTGCTAGCATATGAATATACCACATCTATTTGTTTTTGCACTAAACATTTGGACGCTGCAAGCAATAACGTATCATCCGCTTAGAAAACCCTCGGGATGTGATGACTCACGAGTTTCAGTCCTTGATTAAGCTCGTCTAGATGAACGATCAAATCGTTTATAACAATTAAAAAACACCACGCGGATAATGTCCTTCCCTGACCTACTCCCTGTAAAATAGAGTATTTATCACTCCGTTTCCCTTCGTATAAGACTGAAGAGTACACATCTTGAAATGAATCGAAGAGTAACCGCCAACATTTTCCGTTAAAGCCGATATTATATAGCTTGTACATAAGTCCCTCAATCCACACACTGTTGAATGCCTTTTGATTGTCCAGGAAGGCGGCAAAAACTTTCGATCCACGCTCTACGTAGTGAGCAATTGATTCCTGTACGATAAAGGCAGCCGTGATACTACCGCATTGCGGGCGAAATCCCTGCTGGAGGGATGAGGAAAGACCATTTCGGAACATAGAGATGTTATCCGAAAATATAATATCTTTTCCAGGAGTTTTTGAAGAACCGTTGTTAACGTAATATCTCGGTAGTTATTCACATCAAGTCTGTCCTTCTTACCACCTTTAAACAGAGTTATAACTAATCCGTATTTTAAGTGTGACGGGTAACGTTCTATTTCCAGAATTTTATTAAATAGGGTAACGATAGCGCTCAAACTTTTATCTCCCAGTAACTTTATATGCTCAATAACGATACCATCATGTCCTTCCGCTTTTCCATTGCTCATTTTCGATAGTGCGCTTTTCAGTTCTTTTGTATGCACTATGTGAAATGTGTCTTTATGTGTATAATCTCTTATGTAAGAGGAAATAAAGAATATCTATCTATCTATCTATCTATCACCTGCCAAATTCCTTAAAATGATGAAATATTAATAGCTTAGGAACATTGTTGTGATGTCGGGATTTTGGTCTCAATTATTTTTCATTTTCATATATACCATATTTACAGTTGACACTTGAATCACAGTTAAATGCATATTAGATTAATTTTATGACAAAAAAGAAATTATAGACTTGGAACTTGCCCCAGACACCATTCGGATCCCCCAATATCACATTCAAAATATAATAAATGCTTCACTCCATTATAACAATCTCCAGCTTTGCAGCTAACTTAATTTACGCGCGGCACTCATTCCATCATCAAACCACACTAACAACCAGATGCACGTACTCATTCAATACCTAATCTACCGCAGGGTCAGTTGGCAAATGTCCCATAACACATTTACACCGCAAAGATATTTGCGAATCTGTTGTACTTCAGTTAATTAATAATACAATGTACTGAAAATATCGGTAACAAGGTATCATTTTATATACCCTTTACTATGTTCTTGCAGATCCGACATATTCAGTCGACCCCGAATGTACCGCAAAGGTATTACTGGTTATTCAATACGACATAAATGACAAAGTCTGATATCTACCTTGATCTATTTGGCTAGCCGTGAGTAGATGAGTTCCGTTTTTGGCACTGAGAGTAAGGTAGGCCATCCCTGTGGTGTTTCCTAACGTGGAGGGGATCGCAATCCACATGAGTCCAGCCAAGATAAAACCCCAAACTCCCTGCATTGGTTTAGCAGCAATTCTACTCTGCCACGCTGCTTGATCACAATAAACCATAGATGATGCTACAAAAAATCCTACTATCCCATACACAATACCACTCTCGGATCGGAAACTCATCAAGCTGTTTCCGCCTGATCCTTCGACACAAGAAACGACGTTGTATATGTTAGAAATGTCACCTATATCAAGAAATCTACTGGTATTATTATAAAGAACCTTTGTAAAGAAAACTGTTAATGCGACATAAGCCAGAAACGCATTGAAATATGACACATAAAATGTAGTTCCGATTCCACCAATCAGCGAGTAGGATCCAAACAAGGTTGCCATGATCAAGAGAGTGTATTCTTCCGACACGTTTTCGGTCACTGATTGGATGGTTGTTTTTCCCGCCAACAGTAATGCTGTCATGATAACCAAATTGGTGACGAGTGCAAAACAGCAAAATACTATGTGTGCCTTCATTCCATATCTAGCGTAAATGATCTGTTAAGGGAAAAAAAAGTAGAAATAAAAATTAGCAAAAAATGAGAACTTATATATATATAATCAGTGATTTTTTATGCCCCCGCCATAAAATTGGTGGGGGGGGGGGGGGGGGGGGGGGGGGGGGTATAGTGTTGCCCATGTACGTCCCGTCGCGTCGCGTCCCGTCCCCTCCCGATTCAAAGTAAACGCTTAGCAACGTCATTCTTTGACAGATTTTTGTCAAACTCTATACAAAGGTCAAGTACAAGTATTCATCGGACATCGTTGTATTTCAGGTATCCAAGGTCAAGGCCAAGATCACACTTGCTATATATAGAAAATCATCAACTAATTCAATTTAAACACTTAGCAACTTCATTCTTTCATGGGTTTTGGTCAAACTTTATGCAAAGGTCAAATATGAGTATACTTCGGACATTGTTGTGTTTCAGGGTTCCAAAGTAAAGGCCAAGGTCACTGTTGCTATATAGAGAAATACATCAACTGATTCAATTTAAACACTTAGCAACTTAATTAAAAATGTTATAGAGATGGTAATAACAACCTGAAAAAAACATATGAATAATAAAATCAACTTTTCGAATTTTAAGTGTAGAACCTTGTGTGTATGCATGATTTAGGGTATCAAGATCAAAGTGTTTTTTTTATAGAACACTGAAACTAATTTCACACGGCAGCGGGTGCATTTATGTCTTACAGACATTTTCTAGTTTCTTTCTTAGATATATGGTTACATGGACTGAAAAATATACTGAATTTACCTCGAGTCGGTCATTTTATCTTGCTCGGGTTCAGATAGAAACATATTCACCTCAACATAAGTTAATTATAAACGAATTTCTGTAAGCAAACATCTGATTAAATGCCCCCGAGTGGTTAAGATTAATTTCATATAGTTTTATTAACAGCTGAAGTCATTTGAGAAAGAACCTGTGCAGGTTCGGGGAAAGAATAGACCCGCTGTATCCCCCTGCATGATCACAAGAGGCGACTAATATGCCCCAAGCAGAATCGGGGTATTTTTTTCTGTTTAGGGGACATTAAGGAAATCAACTGTATCCTACTGCATGTTTATCTGATCAAATGCATACGAGTGGTTCGTTTATTTGAATTTGATATATGTTTTATTTACAACTAAGGTTTTTAAAAACGAACCCTGTGTCTAACTCCAAGATCGTAATATGCGGCTTACTCCCTCACCCCCTCCAAAATCGGGGCGACTAATGGGCCCCCTGCAGAATCGGTGGTTTTCCTCCATGTCGGCTACGAAGGAGATATATGGAAGAGACCAAAATGGATCTGCTGCCCCCATAACAACAATGTTCGTTTACTTGCTTTACTATCTTTCTTTAATTTCTACTTTTTGTTTCAAGCGGTGTTTCACTAGGCACCTATTCGCATGTGACACTGGCTGATGCGAGGACGTTTCCCCCAAAACAAAGACAAACATTTGAGAATGGCCTCCATGTGTGCAATAAATGCATGTACATATGCTGGAAGCGGTAGTTGGTGCAGTTGTTTACTTGCTGTAGCCCTGATCTGATGCTGACTTTTTAGTACTTTCTAGCGCCAAGCATTTTATTCCGACCGGTCACATACTGACAATGGGAAAACCTACTGTTGCGATTACCCTGAATGTAGCATGTAGTACGGAATAACAACTGTCATTTTAAGGACTTTGGTATATCCCGGCCTGAGGTCAGAACAATGAAGGCAAAACCTTAACTGTGAGTTAGTCGATGGTAATATGTCGATACGATACATATATATATTGCATTGTCATTGTTATTGAAACATTCAGGCTTTATTGAACACAATTATGTCATTTTGTATTTTTGGAAGCGAATCCGCTGGTACGAATGGGCATGGAGAAGATTTAAGTTTTCTTACGACCCTTGACTCTTTGAAAATTCATGAAATAAAACTTTGTATGAAGTACCATATTAATTTAACCCATTTAGACCTCAAACCCCTTTATTCTTTCGAATTGCCCCGTGTACCATGCCACACCATATGCGATAATGTTAGCTGGTGAGTTACTATTCCAAGGCAAGGTAAAATAGAACAGTTATTCGTCAATCGTTATTTAGAATAACGAATAACTGTCCAACTTTACTTTGCTCTTTTCCAAGGATAGTCACGCTTCACATCACAATTTTAAACGCCTTAGTATCTTAACGCCCTGTCAAAACAAGAAAATTAAGGACAGATTACGCCAGCAAGTGACTTGTGTATAGTTATTATAATATGCGATTCTCAACAGACGTATGATAATGCTTAGAGCTTACAGTTCAGACATACAAGTAGTCATACGTAGTATACGTGTTGCCTGTACCTGTAAGTACGTTTTAGCCCCAGGGGCTCGGGTTTTGAAATGCACTGAGAAGATTGGAAATATGAAGATGTTGATTATCACTCCAACAGCATACCAGAATGCTCCGGAAACTCCAAGCTGAAAACAAAAATAATAAAATGTATTGAAAATAATTCAGCTGCTTTCCTCACTGTTTACTTCCGTGACCAATAGGGATAGCTTACGATCTTGCTCTTTCCATTAATTGATTGTTACATCTTCCCAAGCCAACAGTGATACATGTTACAATTGTTTCGCTATTCAACAGCTTAATCCAAAAATCATGACTTCCGTGAAACATGTTGTCTTCCGACAGACAAACATGAACTAAAGTGTAGGTAAATGAAGACTACTGACAAGTTTTAAGGTCACAATATTGGTCTCATAGGTACATAGGCTACTTGTTAAGTGATTATGAAGGTCAAACGTATTCAGTATGCTTGTTGACGTGCCTAGTATATTTGTTGCAACTTCCCCAGTTCTCGCTATGAGGACGTGGCATTATTTGGACTCGATATATTCGGTAGATGAAGCAGAATACGCCTTACCTTCCGTAACGTCTGGATTTGTTCATCTTGAACCTTTTAAAGGTTCTCCCTTGACTGTTTTTTCTCTGTTTACATTTGATTTCGAATTTCTTGAAACCATTAAACTACTGTCTGATCTTATTCTTAACATTATTGTGTGACAGTGCTTGTCGCAACTATATGTTGTTGATTATCAAACATTAAACTTGCCTTTGTTGCTAACGTCGCACTCTGGAGAATGTCCGCAGGCCAGAACATTTGAGACGCTACTGTGACGGCCGTCAAACTCGTACTGATGTTACCTCCGGCATCAAACGCCGTGTCCAGGTTGTGTGCATCATGGAAGACGTACTTCCTTATTGCGTTATGGATCAGGGCAAGAATGACGGAGAACCCGCCAAACCCTAAGAGTATTAGCAAGGCTGACTCGTGTTTCTGGAGAATTGTATTCGGCCTAAAACGTTAATGAAAAATAACTTATATCAAAACATATATCAGTACATAATGTACCAATGATGAATCTTGTGAGGAGACCAACATATGTAGGAAAACTAAATCTAGTGAACACAAAGTCTCAAACAATACCAAAAGGATAAGTGTATATAATGCCTCTTCTGGGCCCCGTTATACTCCTAAATTTGTTCAAAGATGTCCGATTGTAATACATGCTCAAAAGCTAAGGTAAAAGTTTAAAAATAGGTGTTTGGAGTACAAAAAGAGTAAGGTAAAGCACAAATATAATTTGCTGTTTTCAAAATGAGCTGAAAAATCCCAAAATAATTTCATTTCTATTTTTGAAAACATGACAACTAAATAGGCGTATATAAAAGAATGAAAAAATGACAAAAATTCAATCGTCATTTAAAGACTGTTTATATCAAATTGAGGATAAAGTCAGGGGGTTCTTTTAGGTAATTTTTCTAATGAACCATAACTCAGCATAAAGCAAAAGGAAAGTGTGCAGTGAACAAATGAGTAAAGTTGTAAATTTAAACTAAAAATATAAATTAGAAAGGAAATTATTGAAAAAACAAAACACTTTTCATTTGAAAATATCCTTATTTATCCCTACTGTACGCACAAGTTTCTAGGTAATATATTTTGACACGTTACCATTCGAAAAATCAATACAACATACCTATCTCTATATGACGTCGACACAGATACATGCAGCACAAAACTTGTGTATAGAATATTGTCTCAACAAGAAAATGAAGGTATACGTCTGCGATATATGAGAGTGTTGTTTATCGTGTCAGGTAAAGAAATATGTTTAAACAGTTTTTTATAACATACCTGCCGTTATTCTTTATATTCATGTTATATTTTCTGTAAGTAATTGATCATCAATATTCCGTATTAACATTCAATTTGTCTACCGAAAACTTTCACTGAACAAATGGTTTGTCCACAACGATTCAGAGAACGGTATAGCAAAGCAGACAATTCTTGTTTCAATCGGGATATTTAAATATTAGATAATAACCGACGATTTTAAGCCAAAGATCACTTCCTTTCAGGTTAATACACCAATTTGTAAATGAACATAGATAGATATTAATAACACCAATAACAAGTACTAATTGTAATGGGGGACCATTACAGATGTCCTTCAAATTGCCCCCATAGTCGCAAAGATGCATCAGAAAAGGTTCGCAATGCCATAATACACTTACAATATAATACTTAATTTTAGTGAAATCGAACAATTTCTGAATTCCAACCAATCAGAAGCCTCCATGTTGTTGCTTTGGCAACAAAACCTACGCGGTTGAATTCGCAGTCCGCTAATACCTCTATGTACCAATATTCATAACAATCAAATAATATATAAATTCCGACCAATCAGGAGCCTTGCGTGGTTGCTGTGTGGTGCAACGAAACCTATGCGGTTGAATTCGAAGTCCCCTAATACACCTATATACCAATTTTCATAAAAATTAAACAATATGTAAATTCCGACCAATCAGAAGCCTCCGCGTGGATGCTGTTTGGTTGCTATGGTAACGAAAGATATGCGGTTGAAATCGCAGTCCCCTTATACCCCTATATACCATTTTTATCAAAATCGAACAATATCTAAAATCGACCAATCAGACCAATAATTGATAAAACGACCTACCTAGCTAGAATAAGCCACTACAACCTGCTTTACAGTACATAGATAGACATTTTATACAATCAGTACAATTAGCATATACATTATTCAATATAATATTGAGGTATTCGCTGGAGCTGCCTTATCATGCGCTCACTACCAGTCCTTCCACCTGGGTTGTTGGAATTGTGTGGGCAGGAGAAAAACACTTTCTCGGAATATTCTATGCGTATGACAATTTCGAGGATCGAAACCCGGCCGCCTGCGTGGAAGGCCGGAGTTTTAAGCACTCGATCAATCCTCCTAAACACTAAGTATGTTATTAGTTTCACTGTATCAGAAAAGAAAGATTCGACAGGTTTGTAAGGAAAATTGATGTATCATTATCAGGTATGCAATACAAACAACATACATGTTATACAATACCATACCAAAATCATAAATGCATGCGCATGTTGTCAAGGAAAATGGGGAAAATATCAAATTAATAATGAAAAATGATAGAATAATGGAAAACCGAAGACTGACTAGATCAAGAGAATATAAATAATAATACCCTATGGTCTCTTTGGGATACTCCAGAATAATCGGACAGTCCGAAGTGTTGAACGTGGCTCCCACGACTTTCAGCATAAATGTCACTCCACATAGATACGGCAGGATCATCTCAGTCATACTGCTTCAATCAGCAATATTGTACAACGTCATTAGTCCTTCTGTAGAACTTTTAACTAATAGCGTATAAACATCAGTTAGTCTACTGTAGCTATCATTACCTATCATAGTAACACATCGGTTAGTCTACTGTAGCTATCATTACCTATCATAGTGAAACATCAGTTAGTCTACTGTATCTATCATTACCTTTCATAGTAAAACATCAGCTAGTCTACTGTATCTATCATTACCAATCATAGTAAAACATCAGTTAGTCTTCTGTATCTATCATTACCTATTATGGTACAACATCAGTAAGTCTACTGTATCTATCATTACCTATCATAGTAAAACAACAGTTGGTATACTGTATATATCATTACCAATCATAGTAAAACATCAGTTAGTCTTCTGTATCTATCATTACCTATTATAGTAAAACATCAGTTAGCCTACTGTATCTATCATTACCTATTATAATAAAACATCAGTTAGTCTACTGTATCTATTATTACCTATTATGGTACAACATCAGTAAGTCTACTGTATCTATCATTACCTATCATAGTAAAACAGCAGTTAGTCTTCTGTATCTATCATTACCAATCATAGTAAAACATCAGTTAGTCTACTGTATCTATCATTACCTATTTTGGTAATGATAGATACAGTAGACTAACTGATGTTTTACCTATTATAGTAAAACATCAGTTAGTCTACTGTATCTATCATTACCTATTATAATAAAACATCAGTTAGTCTACTGTATCTATCATTACCTATTATGGTACAACATCAGTTAGTCTTCTGTATCTATCATTACCAATCATAGTAAAACATCAGTTAGTCTTCAGTATTTATCATTACCAATCATAGTAAAACATCAGTTAGTTTTCTGTATCTATCATTACCAATCATATTAAAAAAACATCACTTAGTATACTGTATCTATCATTACCTATTATGATACAACATTAGTTAGTCTTCTGTATCTATCATTACCTATTATGATACAACATTAGTACGTCTACTGTATCTATCATTTTTCAGTGTTTGTCGTTCGAACAATTTTCGCATCGCGAGCACGTGGTCTCGAGATTTTATCTACATGCGAGCGATGAGAAAATTGTTCGAACGACAAACACTGAAAATACTGTATGATAAACTATTGATCATCTATATACTATCACCTGATATATTTATCAATTTAAAAAAAAAAAAATTAACACCATGTTTTCCAAATGACTTCTAAGGTCAACGATCTCCTGTGACAAACGTAAACACATAGAAATACTAAGTCCGTCCGTAGCGCGTCGACTGTCCATGTATATATTTCATACTCCGAGTAATGTAACTACCGCGCGTTGTATTCTGTGCTGTGGTGTTATGTCTACAAGTGTATTGTGGTGTTCTGCTCGTTATGTATGTTGAAACGTTGGTATACCATACAGTGCACCGTCCCGGTATCCTATAAAATATTCATCCCCATAAGATACCTATCACGATGAGTATTTTATGCATAAAATACTCATCCGGGTGAATATTTTATGCATAAAACACTCATCCCCCCCATAAAATATTCATCCCCCCCTAAATTTTATCAAAACGTTTTACATAAATACAAAATTTACAACATTATTACATCATGTTACCTGTAATACATGATTACTATATGTCTGTCCAGGTAATACACACTATAGGGTGTCACCTTTGTGGGGACTGGGGCCCGGGGGGCTAATCAATACAGGTGAGAGGGAGGTGACAGGTGAGCAGGTGTGGCCTTTACCCAGAAAAAAACAGCCTTATAATAACTTTTGAAGTCATATGTAGGATGATTAAAACAAATAAATACTTATACTGTACTGAAGTTTAAAACCATTTAAATTTATCGTTTTGGTTATCAACAAAGTCAAAAGGTGAGAATAATGCAATTGGCACTGTTACTTCTATACTGTATTCTGAAAAGAGATGTTTTGTTTTATTTTTCTTGATATTACAGTTTATTTAAATTTAATAATAATCACTCCTTCCCCAAACAACAAAAATGATAATAAACAAAGTCTGTATTACGGTACAAATTAAGTGTAAAAGTGATAAAAATAAACTTGGCTTATTTAGGTACTTGTATACTGTATTTAAAATGTTTTGGAAAGAAAGTATTATTTGTATTTTTTTGATATTGTGGTACAGTTGATTTCAAACATTTGTCCTATAGTACATGTATATGACTATAGTAGAGGGTAGATGGTTTTATAATGACAGTGGATAGGTATTTAATGGCTAAAGTATAGGGTAGATGGTTATTTTATGGGGGTGGATAGGTATTTTATGACAATAGTATAGGGTTGATGGTTATTTTATGGTGGTGGATAGGTATTTTATGACAATAGTATACGGTTGATGGTTATTTTATGGGGGCGGATAGGTATTTAATGGCTATAGTATAGGATAGATGTTTATTTTATGGGGGTGGATAGGTATTTGATGACTATAGCATAGGGTAGATGGTTATTTTAAAGGGGTGGATAGGTATTTTATGGCTAAAGTATAGGGTTGATGGTTATTTTGTGGGGGTGGATAGGTATTTTATGACATTAGTTTAGGGTTGATGGTTATTTTAGGGGGGTGGATAGGTATTTAATGGCTATAGTATAGGATAGATGTTTATTTTATGGGGGTGGATAGGGATTTTATGACAATAGTTTAGGGTTGATGGCTATTTTATGGGGGTGGGTAGGTATTTAATGGCTATAGTATAGGATAGATGTTTATTTTATGGGGGTGGATAGGTATTTAATGGCTAAAGGATAGGGTAGATGGTTATTTTAAAGGGGTGGATAGGTATTTTATGACATTAGTTTAGGGTTGATGGTTATTTTATGGGGGTGGGTAGGTATTTAATGGCTATAGTATAGGATAGATGGTTATTTTATGGGGGTGGATAGGTATTTTATGACAATAGTATAGGGTTGATGGTTATTTTATGGGGGTGGATAGGTATTTTATGACAATAGTATAGGGTTGATGGTTATTTTGTGGGGGTGGATAGGTATTTTATGACAATAGTATAGGGTTGAGGGTTATTTTATGGGGGTGGATAGATATTTTATGACTATAGTATATAGGGTAGATGGTTATTTTGCTGGGATGGATAGGTATTTTATGACTTCAGTATAGGGTAGATGGTTATTTTATGGGGGTGGATAGGTATTTTATGGCTAAAGTATAGGGTTGATGGTTATTTTATGGGGTTGGATAGGTATTGTATGAATATAGTATAGGGTAAATGGTTATTTTATGGGAGCGGATAGGTATTTTGTGACTATAGTATAGGGTAGATGGTTATTTAATAGGACTGGGTCGGATATACAATATAGAATCACCAGTCAAAACATACTTAATTCAGGTAAGCTTGTTACGATTATATAAACCATAAAAAGTCAAGGGCAGGGGGGTGTCAAGTGTTCTGGTAACCCCCCCCNNNNCCCCCCCCAATTCAATTCTAGCTGTAACCATGACATACAAACTACTGCTTTACATTATATGTTTTAGATTGCAATATTAAAATTAATTCATAAAATGGAATAAATTGAAAAAGAAATTAGTTTCATGATATGTAAATGACAGGTTTTGTAGCTGTCAATGAGTTATCAGTATAGCACTTGACCACACCTGTGTGCTGTCACCAGGCAACAGAATAGCCCCCAGAGCCCCAGTCCCCACAAATGTAACACCCTATAGTGTGTATTACCTGGACAGACATATAGTAATCATGTATTACAGGTATTGAGATGTAATAATGTTGTACATTTTGTATATATGTAAAAACTTTTGATAAAATTTAGGGGGGGGGGGGAATATTTTATGGGGGGATGAGTATTTTATGCAAAAAATATTCACCCGGATGAGTATTTTATGGGTGATGAAAATTGTATATGACACCGGTAGCAAAGACCATCCCTTCGACTCTGCACCAGATCTCATATGTCACCTCTGACACCTTTCAAATAATTTTATAAGGCCCTGTCCATCCCAACCCTAATTTATTGTTGAACTCCGGGGGGACACCTCCAAACAAAGTCCCCCTCCTTGTTCATGTGTTCACTGACCACAGACTACAGTCTCACAAACCCTAATCCGACCACACTTAGTCTGCATGTCTGAAGTAATATCCACCTCATGACAACCTCATAACTTTAGAGTATCTTTACTATAATTTATTTCCAACGTTTAACTCCCCGTTTCTGTTTCCAACGGGACCTATCAAAGGTTGAGTTACCTCCTCATTGGTTATCATCTAAATATGGCATGGTTCCAATAGATAAGAAGCCCCTATCCCCCGTTGGCCCTCCTGTCCATGTTCCCCTGATTCCGTAGGATGTTGCTGGACCTGGAGGAGTACTCCTAAATGGCATTGATTCTAGAATTTCTGCTGTGATTCTTAGGCACTTTAACAGATCTCGATGTATCTTCTGGCCTGGTATGGTTAATGTTGCCTCCAGTCTTAGGTTTAGCCCCTCTATTACCACCATCTATTGTGTAAGTATTGATGAATTATGTTTCGTTAATCATAACTCTCTGTGCACTGATAGCAGGTTTGGGAAAACTACCAGTATTCCCTCTGAAGTATATCCCGCCATCAGCTGGTAAATCTCAATGACAACCCAAAATTGGCTCTTACGGAACAAATGATGTACCGGGTAAAGTTTGTTCCAGGCAAATAATGACCATAAGTATTCATGGGTTCCACAGATTTCAGCCCCTCTACTGGTCCAACTTGTACCGATGTATTACTACCGACATAGTTCCCTACACCTTCAACTGGTACCAATGTTTCACTACATACAGAGTCTACTGTACCTTCCTGTTCAACATAATTCTGTGTCAACATAATCAGGTGGTGAAGTGTGAAAACTAAGCAACCTGCAATTGTTTTACAATGCCCTTGCTCCCACATTTGGACAACATGTGAACGGTGATACATATAAATTTCAGTTAAAAAGAGAAATCACAGAGAATACTCACTTTTGCATGTGTCCTGTGAACTGTTTGCAAAAAAGTTTCCAAATAAGATATATTTATAATGTCACGGTAAAAAAGTATCTGCCAATGTATGGAGGCTCTGAAGAGAAAACACAATATTAGAGTTATTCCCCTTGCATATTTTTTCTCAAAATAATCCCCGTTACATTTAAAAACAAAAGTTGTACAACAATTATGTGTACTGCACAATTGCAGCACAATTATCATGCAATACAATTCAGTTATATCTTAACATTTTGTATAATTGAATAAAATGTCACAAACAGTATTTACTTTATCATCAATACAATAAAATGTTTAAATTGCAACTATTTAATTTCTTATGCATGCACAGTCACACAATCATTATATGAATCAAGTGTATGTTTTTAACACAAACATTGCATACTATTTGGATCAGAATTAAGTAATTTTATTATACTTAAATTACTTTTCTGTTATAAATTATATAGTTTTCATAATAATGAAAATTATCTTTAAGTTAAAACATTAAATTATTATATTGATTTTTATAAATTGTTACAATAAAGACAATGTAGGAACAATTCAATCCATACAAAATTTTAAAAATATCTGGACAAACACGAAACAAAAATATCAAACATGGAAGTGCATGCATAGGAGAATAAAATTATAGAAATATAATGCAAAGATATGTGCACAAGGCAAAAGACAATATCAAAGAACATCGTCAATAAAAAATAAGGAGATGAACATGACAGGACAACATAAATCTCAACAAAAACAAGGTTGAAATCCGGTGAGTGACCCATGTTCCGGAATACAAAATATTTTATTTCACTCAGTGAAAGTACATCATATTATCAAAATTAAGGGCTCATAACTCTGCAATTTTTTTTTTATATTAGAGGTCTGACCAAGATCAGTTTATATTATATGCATGATTGCATGTAAAATATAAATTGAATCCACTTATTCAATGTCATTTTGATAATAACATACCTTATAAATCAATAAATTTCAGAGAAGAACCATCCAGCTCTTCCTGTAAGTTGTCACGAGTCAGAATATATTTATCGGCATCTCCTTCATACGACACTCCATACTCAGCCCCTGCTTCACCATCACTACCCTATAATTAATAGACAGAGAAAAGAATGCAATGCAGAAGTAATGAATTTTACATTATACACTTAATTTTAAATTTTATGTGAACTTTTATCTTGGGCAAAAACCAACTTTATTTAAAAAAAAAAAAAAAAAAAAAAAAAAAAAAAAAAATTATTTACACAAACCATACCAAAATTATTACCTTCACACAATCAAGGATATGTCCAGTTAACCATTCCTGTGTGCCTGACTGTTCCTCAATGTACCATTCTTGCCTAATTTTGCGACCAGCAACACTATTGTACAAGAATGAACATAGTTTGTTTGTTTGTTAGTTTTATTGGGGTTTTATGTCCCTTTAACTCATGTCTAACTCATATCGAGTATATTTACGCGCACCATGATAAGTTTTTCTGTGACACATGTGGCAGTTATACCAGTTGGTCTGCCACATCTATGCAATTTATTGCTTATATTTATATTTCCGTAATGAGAATTCGCAAAATACAATTTATGTCTTTTCCAACTTTCAAATTTCCCGCTTATTACCGTCAGGTCAGGTCAATATCTAGAACGGCACAAAGATAACAGCTGGCGTTACGCGCTATTTCCAATACAAAATTGAAAATGCTCCGTTTGTTTTTAATTTTTATATATATCATATTCTCAATTCATAAAACACTAACAAATAACATTTTGTAAGTAACAAATCAAGTGTCGTAAAACATTTTCCGATTTTATTGCGAACTATATCCGGCGCACGCACTCAACGGAAGCCCGCATTAATCAGGTCAGAGTTATATTTGCAATCCGGCATGTTGTTGATGTTGATCGTGCCACCGGAGAAGGTTGAATTGGTGAAAAATCCAGGCGTAAAATTATTTGTTAATCACACAGACAATGGGAGACAGGCAGCTGGTGTTCGAGATCAAAGCAGAAGATACCGATAGGTTCGGTAGTGACACTGTTAAGTCGTTCGGAGGTGAAAAAGACCAACTTCAGTTATAGTCTCATAAGATGAAGCTGCTATTGGCAGTACTTCAGTAGTAATATAGAAGGACTTTGCCACACCAAATGTAAATATAACACTATATGGCGTTCGACGGGCGTATATTGCTTCGCCCTGCGGTACTCTTGTTTACATCTGGTACAAATCTAAAACAATAGACCTACTTTCATATTTTATGGTATGTAATATTGACACCCCTTACCCAATGTTTGTCTGATTCTCGAATTCCAGCAGACAGTCCATGGCAAGGGAGAGCTAGTTCTGGTAGGAGGGCTTTCTTGTAGAATGCCGTCAGTTTGGGCAGCATTTTATCTTTCCACAAAGCTGAATCTCTAAAAATACTCTTAACAAATAGTTGGTTTGGATTACTTCTCCTAACTCTAAAATCAAGCCATGGCATCTGGAGTATGTTGAGTTGACCTTCGTACTGGTAATAAAATGAATGGGACTTTTTCAATCTAAGCAAGTCATTACTGTCAAGATGTAGACAAAATGATGACTGGTTTTCAACTGCCTCCTGAAAGGTCATTTGATTCCTCTGAAGTACGTTTATTTTTGTCTCTATTAGACCTACTGCATTTCCCTCTTGATCGTGAACCATACCTCAGAACTGGCAGCAAGGTACTTGCATGCCTCATCTATAACTATGCCCATGGAACGTACCGTGATCTTTTCTTTTTGGTTTGCCACGTATTGGATATACTCTTTTATGATACTGGTTTCCTGACCACGTCCATGAGCTGTGTATGAATTCCCTCTAAACGTCGAGTAAAGCATACGTTGTACAAGTGGTGTCACTGACCTATTTACTTCACTGGCACTCTGTGTCTTTGTCAGTCTCTCAATCTATGCACATTGAGGAGATGATAAGTTAGTATAGGTTGTCAGGAACTCCCTACACTTAAATATTGTACTTTCAATATCTGATGGAGAGACATCTGGTACGTGTTGTATTACCTCATCTCCATATTCTTTCCTTGCCTTCTTGCTTGCTGCCACAGGTAACGATTTCATCTTCCTTTTTCGAGCTCCGCCTTTGACATTTGGTTTCTGTTTATTACGAAGACTTCTTACATGGTGAAACGACCTTACCTGTACAAAGTAGTAAATGCCTCACCTGGTCTGACTGATGAAAATCTTGAGAAAACTACTGGTGACCATATGGGCCGAAACTTCTTCCGCAGATCTCCTCCATAGCAACGTGCATGCCATGACCCTCTTTGCATCTATTATATCTCTTTCCTCCATCAAACTTAGTTAGTATTGACATCCAGCTCTCTGCCAAACTGGTGGTTAAATTTCCAATCAGTCGGGATGATTTACATGCTAGTCTGTCCAGTAATATACTTACATCTCGAAGTATATCTCTATCCAAGGTAGCCTCGTATGATATACCCTGCCTGGACTCCTCCATGTCTTTCTCAGATGTCCCGTCTACCAAGTACAATTGTTACTCTTCCAATAAATCTTCATGGTCTTCTCCTTGTCCGTCTCTACGTCCTATTTGTGTTGAAGGATTGGCTACCAACTCCTCTGATCTGGACTTACAGAAGTCGCTGCAGCGTTGGTGCTCCCAAAATACATGATGTACAGCGTTACGGATGCCATGCTCCAAATGTTTGCTTGCCTTTGATCGGTTACTCTCCTTTGACCTCCTCCTAATGGCACATCTTACTGCTGTTGTTATGCGCATACGGAGAAGCTTCGTTAACTTTCCTCTTACTTTAAAGTGGGATTTATCCGACACAAGTTTTTTCAGACTGATCCTCAGGCACTTACAGGCATGGTTTGGCGCACTCCATCTTCTTCACTTCTCTCCCCCATACAGACACAGACTCCTGGATTCCAGTAAGCACCGAGCTATCATCATCTGCAATTACCCTCATGTAGCGCACTCCATGTTTCGACTCTGCCTGCGAAAAGCCCTCTGCACTGATGTCTGCCTCAATCGCCTGACTGCTTTTACTCCAGTTCCTAAAACACTCGTATGGTAATGGCTGTGTATTTTTGGTTTCCACAAGAGTACATATACTACAGTGCCGGTTCCTTATACCAGTATTTAGAAGTTTTCCTGTGGCAGCACCAAAGATTACAGCAATTCCCCCTAAAACAGCATAAGTATGTTTATGGCTACGTTTGGACCAGTTTCCATCACACACAACCGTTATTGCTGGCAAACTTTGGAAAAAATCTTCTCTCTCTATTGCAAGTCTTCTCTCCTCTGCGCCTGTGGCCAGTAAATCCTCCTCCAGTGATGTTCCATGTTGCTGAACATTCTTGTCGACATACTTGGTATAACCATTGTCCCCAGACACTCATTCAATTGTGAAATGCCACTTCCTGTGTCCATGGTACCCCACACAGCACGCAAATTAACCTCCTGTATGGACGGCTCCACAGGTACTTCCTTGCTGGTATTGAAGAGGAACGTCTTGCCACATACGCAGACCATTACTATGGTATTCGCCAATCCATTCTTCTTTAACTCGCCCATTATACTAGCTGCCTTATTACCTTCTGCTAATGTTGCAGTAGCCTTCGAACAGGAAACAGTGCTCCAATATAATGGCCAAGTTCTCGTCCCATAAACCCCTGTCCATGATTCTGTACCCTTCTATAACCCACTGGTTATTAATGACCGACAGCTGTAGTGACTCATGCTTTAACATACATCTTACCTGTGACAGGGGATGTAGTCGT